ATATGGTCAATTGCGGTTCCCTTGGTTACGACCAAAATATCGTCGATGAACGCGTGCGCCTGCGGATATTCCGCGAGTATACAATCCATTGGGCGTTGGAATTCCGCTGGCAATGTAGTCAGACCGTAGAACCCGGTCTTAAACCGGTAGGTACCCGTCGAGCGGCCTCCGATAACAGAAAAATTACATTGTACACTTGTTTCAGTGCTTAACGGCAATTGGCCATATGCGTATGTTAGATCCATCGTAGTAAAATATATGTCCCCTGATTTTTTTCGCTAATCGTCTGTCCCACTGTGTTCATTAATTCTTCCATATTCGGCATTTGATATTTGTTCTTATGCGCTTGTTTATTCAATTCCCTTGACTCGAGCGCTAGTTTTACGGACCCATCTTTCTTTACTGTTATTTCTATTGGGGACACAAAATTTTATCCGAGCATTCTGTCAGTTTTTCGATGTGACCCTGTTTCAATAGTTTATCGATTTCAGCATCCAATTTTTCTTGTATTGAAATGGGAACTCGACGTCCTTTCTGTTGGACTGGGGTGAGGTTTTCAAAAAAATCTGCTTGCTTTTGCTTTTTGTAATTTTTTATGTTTCCTACACAATTGAAAAGGTTTGAAAACTGCTTACTGAAGTAGGTTTGCCAAGAGTCCAACTCCCCCTCTGGTTCCAATGCGTCCTGATTTCCGTTTTCAATGGACATTATCTGATCCCCTGGTGATTGCTGCACCAACTGTAGTCCTATTTGAGGCATCAAATCTCGTCCAATTATCGATGGGCGGTTTCCACCGATTTTTTTTATCCTTGAGTTTGTCTTCCAGCCATTGGATTGTATCGTTACAGCCATCGTTCTAATCATCTGCAATGGATTGTTCCCATAATCCCTAATTGCATTATCCTCCTCCGAAAGGGTATCCAGCTTTATTCCCGACGCTCCCAAGGTTTTCCGCAATTCCCCGATGGTGAAAATTGAAATCGGAGACCCGCTATCAATCCACACACGAGTGGATTTTCCATTTAATTTTATCGGCAACTGTGCCCCAGCGACTTTCAATTCTTTTATGTTTTATCGCCATTACCATATAAGCCCCGTCTGAGCTGCTTGAGTCCCACGAATGTACCACTGGATTCTTATCAACCCATCCAATGGAAATTGCATGTTGTGACGCTTCTTCAACCGCCGAATTTTCCAGGCGTGTATCGTCAACATTCTCACGTATCATTCCTACAGCTCCCCGTCCTCGTTGATTTCCACGCTTCCCCCTTCACGTACGTTCGAAGTGTCCAATTTTATTACAAAAATTGCATGTAACTCCTTTTGCCGGACATCTATCCAAATATTCTCTGGTGAAATTTTGTTGGTCGCAGTTGTAGCATCGATTGTTTTGAGACATATTTCCACCTCGATTGAATCCTCGCCCTTGGTATGAACCTCGGCCCCTCGCGCGATTGTTACGATGTCCTCCACGGATTGTTCCAACTGGTTCAGATTTTATCTGAATTCCGCCGCCTCCTGATGATGATCCTTGGGCTCCCACCGATCCCGTGGCAACATAAGATGTGGCGTATTTGTTTCCCCGCTCGTACGAAAGGGCTATCCGATAGACTTCCACCGGTGTTTTCGTTGACCTGCATAATTCCTTTTGTGTTTCCCGGTTATTAATGTTCACAATGAATACATCCCTTAGTATGCGATCCTCCAACGTTCTAAAATTGCATCGGGCTGCCAGTCCGCTAAGTACAGAATAAAATTGCTCCAAACTTTCATTAATGAATTGTTTCCGCGAGAGTAGCTAGAATGTCTCGTATGTCTCATTTCTTTCCTTCTCGAATTAAGTCTCTAATACGTCTAACATCCTAGGGTAACGAACTGCTAACATCCTAGGGTAACGAACTGTTGATAGATCCAGATGTGGTCGTCTCTTGTGTAATTCATCTTGTCCCTTTTCTCCCAGACACAAATAAAAACTTGAAATAAGTACTTGTTCTGATTCCAGTCGATTCTTACCATCGACTTCCTCGGGCAAAGCAGTAACTTGGGCTGCAGTGAGAGTCGTTGCGTAATAGTAGCTCTTCGGGTTTATTGAGTGTTTAGCTACCATTCCCCATTGGAATCGGTTAATCCAGAGTTCCTACATCATAGGCGGTTCCGTAAATTTCGCAGGCCAGAATCCCGTAATGCCCAGTGGATTCTTCCCCCCACCTGAGACTGCTGGCTGCGCCATGTTGAGAATGATAAAACGTTAGTCGTTCAATCGAATATTCCAATACAAAGTTAGTCAACTTAATCTTACAAAGTTAGCATAAAAAGTGGTTGTAAAAAGTATCCAAGGGTGACAGACTGTTCCAAGGACAAACACCTGCTTAATAGATTAATTTAACATCACGAGTGACAATTGATTGACAGCTTGCAATGTGAACTAAATAACGCTATACAACAAATTTTGAATTTTTTTTTCTTTATTTATTGTTTTTCACTCCGTTTTTGAGAACAAATGTAGTCATTTATTTCTAACTTACTAATTTTTTGACGTGTTTTTATAGTTTTTCCTGTCACACCCACACACTAAAAACGGCACTAATTTGAAGAAGTTTTTTATAATTGTGGTCGGAACATTGTAAGCTAAATGCTAAACAAGACTGCTCGTATCAGGGCGAAGCCCTGATTGTTCGACTGCTTTTTAAGGTTTATGGAGCAGTAATAAATTTGAAAAGTTAAATGTAATAAAAAAATGAATTTTCTTTTCAATTTGAATTTTTAAAATCAAAATCATCCCCCCACACGCCTTATAAAGTACAAAAGGATAAATTTTGCTCCTTATAACAAATCAATTATGGCAAATAAGCTTCTTTCAACCAATTTGGAACGATTTCTAAGACAGATTAACTCTCCGCTTACGCGTTAATAGCGCGAAATATATCGCGCGTTAATTGTCCCAAATTGGCCAAAATTGCAATCTTTAAACCCTTAATCTTTAAAATTGCACTTTACGAAAAATGATCACAGGTAAAAATATCTTTTCAAATTTGAGCTCAGGACAACAATATCTTTCGAATGATATTTAAAAATTCCGTCAAAAATGGCTAGTTAAAAAGTCGAAATTTGTCTGAAGAAAAAAAAAATCCACCCCCGAGCACAAATATTCCGTTACTTTCGTATCGAAAGTCGGAACAATAACCGGCTATGCTTTTTATTTTATGGAAAAAACTAATAAAAACTTTTTATATATTGAAAATACTAAGCTAGAAAGTTAATGCTTTTTTGTACTTATGGAGCTGTATGGAAATTGTATGAAGAGCTTTATTTGAAAAACGCGATCATCTGATTTTTGTATTACAGAAGCTCCGATACTACTTTGGATTCATTAGTAGTGTAGAGAAAATTGGTTTGAAATTTCTTGTTTTTTAAGCTAATTTTTATTCGGACTGAAAGTTTCAGACTGAATATAACCAATATATATAAGTATATATATTTTTTTTAAAAAATTTTTTTTTAAATGTTTTATCAAGGTTTAACTGGCTTTTTTTGTAATTCAGTAGTTTTCACTATAAATTTACCCGAAGCATTTCCTCTGATTGGCTAAAAATTCAAATAACAAAATAATTGCAGACAAAATCCAAAAAATTTGAAAAAATTCCAGTCTTTAAAATTTTTTTTTTTGCTTTTTTAAGAAATATGTGTCGTCGGAAGTTTCTGTCCTCTTTTCAGTTATCAGCTATCCTTGCTATTATGTTTTATATTCAAACTTACACAATTTACATACAATAAAAGATCAAACGCGTGCCTTCGGTCAATCAAAGTTACTTTACCAGAAACGATTCTATCAGACAACACTATTAATTTTTCAGTCAGAAACATAAAAGCTACCGCGAAAATTATTATCGATTAGTTTTCATGTGCAGTTTAAATGATTGAATATTTTCCGGTCAGCAATTCATTTCGTTTGATCAACGCAAACTTGAATCGGAAAAGCCTCAGATCTTTAAATGGAGTACCGAAACTTCAGAACCCCCACCAAATTTGTCCAGTTAGTCAAAATCGGTACCACCACATCAAAACGTTATAGTTCACTATTGAATCAATTGTAATGTTTTTGTCTATATACCTACATGTATTGATCAATTTTTGTAGACTGCTCAAATTTTGAAGTCAGACAAGAAAGATTTGATCAAATTTTAACTGTTTATGTGACATATACGCGGTACAGCAAGCGAATCGACGTATTTAAGAGCCGAAAGCATAAAACAATAGCTTTTCCTAACGCAAAGGTTTAATTTTGATCTTAGCGAAACCTTATAAAGAAAAATTTCAACAAGTTTGGTACTTGAATTCATGAAAGTTATGTTGTTTGAAAAAACGTGGAGACATTTTTAAGTTTTTTTTTCCATGGAAACGGGAGATTGCCATTGCATGTTTTTTATTCAGTTTCCAAAAAATATATATTTGAATGGTGTTTTTTGACAAATACAAATCTAAAAATATATACGGGCGGAGTATTGGTCTTTTGATGTGCGGCGAAAATGGTGTGTATTAAAATCACGTGTATTTTCACAAGACGTTGTTTGTCTCAAGACTATATTTTTTTTAATTATCAACAAAAATATTGTCAGAACCATTTGTCAATCATTTGATTATTTTACTCTTTTTGTATAATATAACAATGTATTTAGCTCTGTCTTGTCTCAAATTGGAAAAAGATTCATAAGCCGACAATGAAGTCGTTTTTGGATTTTTGATGCTCGCGAGTCGTCTTGTAATCGCCGAGAATAAGCTGACGAGTTTGATTTGTTTTTTCGTCAGCCCGAGTGATTATATGAACACGACTTGGCTAGGTGTCCCGAACGTCATTTGAAAACGAGAACCAAGGCTCCGAACTCGACCAAAATACACCGAATATAGAAAGTTGTCGGCTTTTTGTTACATAAGCCAAGATTACTTGTGTTTTAATATACTGGATAGAAACAAGTTTAAAATTTTAGATTTTCATTCAGAAAACAGTCGATGAAAATTCAGTCCGACTTTTTTGTGTAACAGAATTACCAAATTTACTATAAAACAGAACCGATTGTAAAACTCGCTCATTGAGAAGAAAAAACATATAAAATACTTTCATCAGCTTATAAAATTCAATATTTACCTTACCGCTCATAAATCTTCTGAGATTCATTTTGTATTATTATTTGCAAACTCAAAATATACACTCAACAAGTTTGTGGTATAAACAGTACTGGGTTTGTTATCTAAGCATCTAGCCAAAGCATAAATTGTTCCAAAAAATTTTACCGATAAACAAACAAAACAACAAAAAATAATTTTGAAGAAGGAGAAGTGAAGATGGGATTGACCTTCAGTGATTTAGTGAAGACGTGTTGTTACTCTGAGAAGCAACAGTTTCACAACTATGACTCATCAATCGTGAATGAACCCCTGCTTGGATTGTGGCGACCCTCGAATGGGGGGTGTACGTCTTTGCAACAGTGGGTGCAGTTAAATGTTGGAAAAAACAGCCCCCTAGCTACAGGTAACTAAACAATTTGAGAAAAAAAACCTAGAATTTTTTTTTTTCAGTTCATCAAACAAGGGCTTATCAGAAATTTTCAGTAAAGTGCCGAGCACTCGTAGATTGATCCTTTCCTTCGTTGATTCTAAATGATTCTAATTTATTTACAACCATAAAAAGCCAATAACTTTTGAAACATCAAATAGTTTTCACAAATGGTATAGTATGTGCTATGTAGTTTTGGTAAAAGTATGATATCTGGGTTCCTAAAATTAAGATGGGTCCCTGTATAAAACAGTTTACGCTCTAAAATCTTCTAAAACTTGCTTAGTATTTGTTTACTTGTGTTTTTGAAGTTTTGTCAGAAACTGCGGGACCTATCTTTCATACCTGTAGCGGACTACCAGACTTTTCTTGGTAGAAGCTAAACAGTAGTAATTGATATTTTTTGCAGTGCTAAGCAGCTACTTATTTATGTAGAAGATTATTGAGAGCTAATTCAGGAGAGCTAATTCAGAATATTATAGTTAAACATGCTGTGGAAGAACTTGTTGTAATCAATAGATCCTTCTTTTCCTGAAAATTGTATGCGAGATAAATGAATCATGCAAAAACAAAAAGTAAAAAAAAAACAAAAACAATAGTAAAAAAAAGATACTGAGCATCAGGCGCGGATCTAGAAATTTCTCGAGGGGGTGGATTTTCCAAAAAATTTTGAAAATTTTGTCGACCTTTTTATTTTACGTCGACCGAATTGATTTTGTGAGGTCTCGAAGGTCGGTCAGTCGAAAATGGATATCTCAAAATAGTACCAAAGGGGGACCCTTTGGGTCGGCAGGGGGTCGAATCCCTGAGGGGGAAAGGAAAAGCGTCCATCCCCCCCCCCCCAAAAAAATTTAGCTGAGCATTTAGCTGCTTTTTTCAAGAAACCGATCAAAATGACTGAGATAAAAGCTCATCTTCTATGGTTTTTAAATTTTGAAAAGTTGTTGTTTTTTGCTGCAGGGGTGTTGAGTGATTTTTGGGCTACAGTTGATGCTCAGAACACTAAGACAGTCTGCTCTCCGGCTGACCAGATTAGTGCTTTGGTTCATCTGGCCCATCTGGAGGGACTTCGAGTTCGTGCAGTTGGAACAGGCGCCTCGTGGAGCGGGGTCACCAAAGGTCAAGATATCCTAGTAGGTGAGTCATCAAAAAGTCAATTTTAGAGCAACATTTAAAAATAGAATTGCCTGAATTGTCTGGAATTTGTTACTGTAGTGTTTTTTAATTTTTCGGCAGTAATTTAATCTTACCGCCAATATGTAACTTCGAGATGAGTTTTATGTTATTCAAAGCTCTAGAAACTGCTTAAATTGATATTTATGATTTTTTTTTTATAAAACCGCAGGATGTAAAAAAACTTTCTAAAAAAATTAGAAAAAAAACAATGCCTTGCTGCGCTGTTGTGTTCAATTTTACACTCGGTAATAATTGATGCCTACTCAAAAAAAACGAGGTGTACTCTAAAAGAGTTTTCAAAGGTGGTTCGTTCTTTACAGAAACGACATGTCTTGACCAAATCACGAGTAGTCGTCCAGGTTTTGTGTGGTGTGAGAGGGACCAGAAGAGCTACAACACAGTGTCAGTCCAGAGCGGCATGTTGGTGAAAGACTTCTGCCAGAGGATAGATGAGAACTTCGGGCTGGCTCTCCCGGTGTTGGGAAACTACGCCGGACAGACTGTGGGCGGTCTGGTTGCTACTTCCAGTCATGGATCATCCAAGCACTGCATGACTATGGTTAGTTCCAGTGAACAATTTCAATCCTGTAATTTCAATCCTGTGAACAAAAGGAACATAATTAATTTTATTTGGTAAAAAAAATGGTTGTTTCTTTCTGAAAAAAATATAGATAAAATTTTCAAAAGTTTTTCAAAAACTTTTCACAAAGAAAAAATCTTGGTACGCCAATGAATCGACCATTTTACCAATCATGGAATTCAGATCATTACCATTCACTGTCCACTAAAAGCATCAAAAATGGCAGATAAAATTAAAGATTCTTATTTAACGTTTAAGGCAAGCTACGTGCACTCTTTGCATCTAGTCACGGAAGGGGGAGTGAAGATCAAACTAAGATATCAGAAGCCGAATGAAAAGCCGACAAGTCTCGACCAAGTGTCCAAACTCATCTCCGAACGACTCGCCAATTTCTCTCCATTCCACGAACCCATCGAAGTAGCCAACGACTTCATAACCGAATCGGCGATCGTGTCACTCGGCTGTTTTGGAGTCGTTTACGAACTTGAGTTTTACTGCGAGGCGGCGTACGATATCGCCGAGACCCGAATAGCGTTTGAAATTCCCGAAAAGTGCATTGACTCGTCCGAAGGCGTGATCACTCTACCTCATATAATACGAAACGGTCTCGGAATGTACCCGAGTAGCAAAAAAGACATTACAAACTGCAACAACGACAAAGACTCAAACTTTTTCTTCTCGTTTTTTGTAAACCCCATTCCAACCGACAACAACTCGATTAGATGCACAATACTACAGGGCGCTAAGGTTTCACGACTGAAGTGTTCGGGTGATGTCTCGGCTCAAACCCGAGTGCAGTCATCAAACCGAAATGATTCGTTAAAGCGAAGTGAATCGCCAAAAACCGAAGTAAATTTGAGCGCCGAAAAGTGTAGTTGTGCTTTATGTTGGATCACGTGCGGAAATGTATGCGAAAGAAGAGGTCTTAACACGACGATTCAGCTGATTCAAAAGGACATAGCGGCCGCTGGTTTGCACACTATTTCCTTATTTGGTAGTGAATCTATGAAACGGGAGGCCACTACTTTCGCCATGTATGGATTCGAACACTCAGCTACTCGAATTGACAAGTGGTTCGAAATCTTGCAGATAACCCAAGGACATATACAGTAAGTAAATTTACAATTTTGGAGTGCGGTCAAAAAGTAGACGTGCCATAAAGTAGACAAATCGGAAGCCAATCACAAGCGAGTCTTATAAGTAGACAAGTCGTAAGCCAATCACTATCAAGACATACGAAGTAATTTCTTTTTCTCAATTCTGATTGGATTACGAAGTGTCTACCTTATGGCATGTCTACTTTTTGCAACGTAACCCTAATTTCGTTCTCGTCTACATGAAAAAAAAAGTATAATTTGACAAAGTATTCAGCGCGAAAAAAAACGGCGTGAGGTGAACTTAATTGTTTTGAATTATTCAAACTGGTTTTCTTCTCAATTTTGACATCAGCGAGCAGACCTGTTAAAATTTTTTAATCTTTTCAACAAGCAAAAAAAAACAGGTATCAAAAGTCAATCTAGCCTAAACAACAACAAAAATAATAAAAGGGACAACCAAATTTTTTAGCAGTTTATAATCATTTAGATTTGTAGTTATGCTTTGTCGATTAATCAGTACACGCCATTATAACTGTAAACGTGAGTGGTCTGACTAAATTCAAAACTTCAAATTCAACAAAAAAAATAGACCGTTGAATTCAGTTTTTGAGGTGATCTAGACTTATTGAATTCAATTAATTCTCAGTGCAAAGGTAATAGTTTTCATTGCATGCGTTTCGTCATGTTTATGCTTCGCAAATTTTGCTGAAGTTAGAGTCGACAAAAATGCGGTAAATCTTGTCAACATAAAAACGAGGCAAAATGAGACTCGTCGAGACATTTAACTTAAGGCTACGACAACAATCCGACTGGATTTCCAGCCGTAGCGACTCTGAGCCTCGAATTTAAACATGTCAAGTACATAAAATTATTGCCAAAGAGGGTATAATTTTTTTTGTGATGATCACCAAAAACTAATCAATTACAATAGTTGTTTTTTTTTCAAAAGCTGGTCGGTATTTTTTTCTTGGGTCTTCCAATCATATATTTTTGAAATGCATATGATAGAAATCAAAAATTTAAAGTTTAGTACATCTCTAAATATCCTTAAGCAGCTTATTACCCGATACCATTCTTTGTTTTTCAGTAAATATCTTTAATTTTTTCCAAGTTCGAATTTGAATTTTCACGGTTTGAATTTTGATTTTATAAAATTCATTGAAATTCCGTTCTTAAAATGAAGGCAAACTCCCTTATCGAGCAGTAAAAATGTAAAGATCATGAAAAACGTGATCATGTTCTAGTTACAAAAAGGGAATTTAATTTCTAGAAAAGCCAGTGGAAAAAAAACTTACCTATTGATCCAATTTTCTCAAATTAATTTACTTTATTAGAAAAATTGTCAACCATAAATTGCTCTTGAAATCGAAAAAATTGTGAGGTCGTGTACTCTTCATCGAAATTCGTTAATGATTTTTTTCCTGTTTTCTTACGTTTATTGACTTTGTTGGATATGTTTCTTGTATATAGCTTGAAAGCTTTGACTTTGAAAAAAAATCAGTGCTGGAAAATCTGGGCAAACTTTTGTCACAGATTTAATTGCACCTTGTCATTTAAAACCCACAAAAAATAATTTGATTTCTTTTCGGCTCCACACAAAAAAAATTTTTTAGGTCAGAAAAATTTTGCTTTCCAAAATAAAACTTCGCATTAGAGCAATTTGCCAACTTTGACTAAAAGTTGTATAACAATCAAGCGACAACGTTTGATAGCGCTAAACTAGAAACCTTGAAATCTATTTTTTTTTTATTTAGCAGAATTCCAAAATTCGAAATTAAAGATTGTAAAAGATTCAAAAAAACATACCATAAAGGTAAACAAACGTAACACCTTTTATGGGCATCACAATTAAGCCATAAATAATTATACAGTCTTCATATTCTTTCTTTTCTTTTGTTTTTCGTCGCTTTGAAGATCGGACCTTTTTATGCAAGCGCGGTTTTGATAATATGCTGTGGTTTTTCTTTTGTCTCAAAGTTGGCATCAAAATACATAGTTTTAAAGTTGGTATAGTTATTTTGGCTCATTTTTGCATTGTTTAAATTTTTAAAATTCTTGCTTCATTAAATATTAATTGACTTTGAATTGTTGAGAAAAGTCGACAAAAAGGCGTTAAGAGCTTTTATCTTGAGATCAAAGCTTTGATAGTTATACTCAGACTAAAAATAATCGAAAAAAGTATATGAAAATGAAAACGAGAACAACTTTATACCTTTTTAAAAAAATAACCGCAGATAATATTAAAATGGATGGAACTTGAGACAAAATTTAATTAACAGAATAATTTATTGCAGCAAAAATCTCCAAACTGATGAAAAAGAAAATTGACCATGAACCTAAGTGGGGCAATTTTCACTGGTGAGTGCGTAGAGTACACTTCATCAACCACCAGTTAATTTTTTGTTATAAAACTTCAAAGAAAGTCAATATCTATCATTAAAAAAATTATTTTATGATAAACAAATATCCTTACAAGTTAGCATGAAAATTACAAGCTTATGGGCTAATGATTTTTAAACATAAGTCAAATTTTGTCAAATTTCGTTTTTTTTCTCCGTGAAACCTAACTCAAATGATAATTTCTAGAAGGAATATGCTTTCTTAACCTTGAGGTGAAAAGGTGAAAGCAAAAAAGGGCTCTTATGTGTATCATTTGAAAAACAGTGTTGCTCTTTATGGTCCATTTATGTCCTTGTGGTATTAGTATGAACATCACAGAACTTGTTTATTTCGTTTATCAACATAGTTCAAAATAGTTCAGTTTTTATAGTTCTTGTTTTTGTTTTAGTATCCGTACTGCAGAATGGTGCATGCCATTAGAAGACCTTGAGAAGGCGCTTTACGAGGTCATCTCACTTAGCCGAAAGCACTCGTTGAAGTATGGCACTACAACTTCACTACTTCCTATCTTCGTCAGGTGCATGCGAGCCGACTCTCTTCCCCTCTCGCCCGCGAGTGAAATGAGACCCGACGGAGCCACCCGATGCACGCACTACGCATTCATAGAAGTAAGTTGCCATTTTCTATAAACCTTTCCATACATATAATAAAAAAATAACTGAGCATTTATAGAATCAAACATGTTTTTATAATTTGACCCAAAATTTACTTTTACTCTTAAAGGTTAAGCAAAAAACCGAAGAAGTAAAAAAAAATTCTGAAGTATAATTTTGTCTTGTTTTCAGCTTCCTTTTCTGCCTGGCTCTTACGGCGTGGACGAATACCACCAACTGCTTGAAGCCAAACTCGGATCCAGGTTTGGAGCCAGACCCCATTGGGCCAAAAACAACTTCCTGTCCTCCCCCTCAGTGCAAACATTATACCCAATGTTGTCCCGGTGGCACGGAGTCGCCGACGTGTTCAACCGGTCGAACACTTTCTCAAACGTCTACTCGCATCAGTGTGGGTTGACTTCGCCTATTGACCTCCAGACAAGAATAACCCAGCCCACCTCAAAAATCATCGAACCATCAAACCCCACGACGCGAGTTCCAACATCAATATGTATGCTAGAAAGCCCAGAAAATGGCATCAGCTTCGTGGCTTCGAATTAACTTTAATATGAAGTTATAACTAGTTAAAGTTTTAGATTTACTTCTCTAGTTATTCCGATTGAAGTGTGAATGCTTAAAGGAATAATTTGGATGCAGTTTTTTGTCATTAGAAATTTTATCAGTTGTAATTGTCCATTTACTCATTTCGTGATTTATCCAAATCAATGTGCAATAAATTTTGTTTGATTAGTTATACTGAAAATGTTTAGAACTATTTTTGTACTTCAATTCAATTTTTTCATTGTTCAATAAATGAAGTTTTCTTGATTAATACTTTTGAAGGAACTAATAAGATGATAATTTAAGAAACAAGCTGAAATTATATATAAAACAGCCAAAATTAAAAAGATGTTAGCTTAATATTTCCACTGGCAAAAATTAGGTTAAGTCCGGAGCGTCAAATTATATCAAATGTGGACTGCGCTCGAATTTAAATCTTACGGTCTGGTTTGTTATTAGCGTACCGAGAATCTGGTCGAAAAAAGTCGATGTATTTTGAAGATATATTGAGAAGGATCCAATCTGCTCGAGTGCGGTCAGTATTTAGACAACCGCGTATTCATATTCGTCAGTTAGCAGACAAATACTATATTAATCAATCAGAAGAGAAATGAGAAAGACAACTTACGAAGTAACATGACTGCTCGTACATCAGGGCAAATCCTTGAATATTCCGGCTGCACTTAAGGCCAATTGAAAAAATTTTTTAGTTGAATAATTGACAAAGTAATTGAGAAAAAAGAGGATTTTTTTTCATTTTTTCTTCATTTTATCCCACCACACGCTATATTATATAGTAAGGGTGTGTTTAGCGTCTCATTTTGCTGGCTTGAACTAAATTTGGAACGCATTATTTTGCTTCTTACGCTTGTTATAACTACGCAATTTATCGCACTTTAATTATCCCAAATTGACCAAATTAGTGATCTTCAAATGCCCGTAACTTAACGAAAAATGATCACAGGTAATATACTTTTTCTAATTTGAGCTTAGAATAACAATATCTCTCAAATGGTTAAAATTTTCATCAAAAAAGCTTAGTTCAAAATATGAAATTAATTGAATAAAAAATGCCCCTAGCATAGATACTCCGCATTTTCTTGGAAAGTCGGAACAATAAATCATTAATTATAAATTTCTTCCTTGTCTCGAATCTGATTAGTTATTATGGTATTTGTCTCCTTAGTGCCGACTATGAATACGGGGTTGTCTAAATACCGCTACGTAATCGATCTGTTACCTCGTAGAGTAAATTTAGATTGAGTACACCGATTGCTTCTCACGCTACCAAATTTTGGCGGGAAAGGCTTGTGCAACTACTAAGTCGAATACTGATTTTATTCTTTTTAATTCCTAGTCTCATTAAACCTATAAGATAACTGAAAAAGCAAAACTCTTATGAGAACAATCTTAATCCATCTAAATCAATTTTAAAAGAAAATACCTTTCAAATTTTGCAAAAAAAGTATGATAAAAGTTAGACCCTAAATTCAATTTTTTAATTAGGTGCAAAATTATATATGAATCTTTGTACAGGTAGCATTCGTCCGGGTTACTCGGGTTGACTAGAAATTCGTGTACTGCATTTTTCATACATGAAAAAATGCTTATCATACAATTTCGCACAATTCCATAGATACAGAGTGTTAAGAAAACTCTAAGATAAGTCTTTTTTTCATATATGGAAATTGTAGGATAAGCATTTTTTCATTAACCAAAAATTTGAATTTTTTAAAATTTTATTTCTCAAAATTTTAGCATGTGACTGAAACCAGGGTTTACTCAAAACTAGGGTCACCAAAGGAATGATCGTCTGGCATTTACAATGCATTGAAAATGACCTGAATTGTGTAAAGAGTTCTCTTCACAAATCATATACTGAAAGCATCAAACTTTTGAATTTTGGCAAAGACGATTATTTTTAAAATTAGAATTTTCAAATTATGAGACACTGATGAAAGCATATATAAACATGCCATACAAAAGAAGTAGGAGTTTTTAGCCTGTTTAAAAAAAGTTATCCAGAAAGACAGAAAAGAAAATCCAGTTTTTCTGTTTCCAAGACTACGTTATGCAGACAAAAATTAAAACTTGAAAGCAGAATTTTTTTTGGAAAATCTTTGTTTGAGCACGAAATTCGATTTACGGTTGAAAAAAAAAAATATTTTCCGGCAATTTCATTTCAACTTGGAAAAAATTTTGTTGTCGCCATCAAAAAATGCTAGTCATTATAATTTTCGTATATGGAAATTGTAAGACAACTATTGTTTCCAATAAAAAGAAAAATAAAATATATTTTTTTTCCATCACCAGACTGTTTTACTTAGTTCAAATCGCCGCAGAAACTAGTTCGAATCTTTTTTCAATGATTTTTGAAATTGTATGAAAGTTGCATGAATTAAAATAGGTAGTTTTAAAACAAATTTCATGTATGGAATTGTGTGATAAGCATTTTCGGTGCATGGAATTTTAAGATAAATATTTTCGGTTTATGGAGGTCAACCAGGCTAAACTGAATAGTTCAAAGTTTGAAATTCATAAAATTGAAACTTTTTGGTTCCATTGATATGGAGTTTTAATGTTGCATATCTGTGTCCGGGATGATAATAAGTTTAGTATCGTGTAGGTTTCTGTGGTTCTAATCGATTAGCACAGGAAACATGTCATGGGTATGTTTCAAGTTACCAGGTAGAGTCAAGTGCTGTGTTCCTACATGATGAGTCACCCTGAGGCAGGTACATGAAGTAATTGGATTCATCAGGGGTCTTGTCTGGTTTTATTTTTTATTTATTTTTTTTATCTTAACCCAAAAGAATCAATCAGGTTGTTGTAAAAATATTTTTATGGGCATTGGTTCTTCCGGTAAGTATTATGATTTTGTTGGGTTAGATTGCGGTAAGTGCTGCTAGTTGCTGGTACTTTTCAATTGTGCTAACAGCCTGGGTTGACAAACAAAGCTTATCGTTTATGGATAAAATGCGTGTCGTACATTTTCGTAGAATTCTATAGAATAAAAAATTGTATAATAACATTTCTACAGGCATTTTATCCATTAATGAAATTGTACAATAACAATTTTTTTCATCAATGATAACGTACGATAAGCATTTTTTCCATCAATGAAAATGTGTGATTAGGATTTTTTCATCAAATTTATTGCATGACTACCATTTTTTTCATCAACGTAATTGTATGACTAGCATTTTTTCCATTAATGGATTTGTATGATTAGCATTGTTGAGGCTCTATTGACAAAGAATCAACCCGTAAAGCGTGCTATCTCTAAACAACGGATCACCTGCAAAAGCTTTAGAGATTGAAGGCTCTTTAACTGGGTTTTCCACAGAATCTCCAGAAGTTCGAGACAGCTGAAAGTTCCTTATCTTAGTACCAATGGCACAGGACCGGGGGACACACTCACTGTGACAGACTCACAGAAAAAAAAACATACAAAACTGTCGGGACGAAGGTCCAGATTCAACTCGCTATTTAGACAGGTGTGCAAATCCAAATCATATTCAGCCTCTGCATTCATACATTCTACGAAAACATGTGCGAGAAAACATAACATAGGTCTTCCAACAGAAATTTAAACAAAAACAATCCGTAAAACATGCTATCTTTAAAAAAGGATCACAGCAGCCATCAGAGCGAACGTCCCGAACAGTCTTGCAACCCTAAGGGATAAGATTTTGTTAACAAAAACTTTGATTAAATCAGATAAGGCAACAGATAAATTCCAAAAGAAAAAGTGATAAACTGTATGATAAGCTTTGTTAAAATCAAAATTAGATACGCTCGTAATTAAAAAAACGCCATAGCTCAATTTAAAATACCTTGAAAACTCGACTTTTTCTATCGAAATTTTGTATTATCGAAATAAGAAATATACAAATTACGTATAAAAAGTTTATGCAAAAGTTTGGGTTTTTTCTGAAAAAACTTAATTTGTTGTTCTTGGGAAAAAACCATCCAGGATAGTTAGAGAAATCGGGTGATCCATGCATCAGTATTGCTAGATAATTGATGTTTTAATTTTGATATTTGTGCCCGTAACAGATAAACTGCTCTGCTGATTTGATGAATGAGAAATTCTTGTGTAAGTGGATACAGGCATGCTTCAAGTAGGTTAAAATTATGTTGTTATTCTTAGCTCGATCGAGTTTTTCTGGAAATTTGATCTCAACAGGCTAGATGTTATCACGCTGGATGACAAAACACCGTTGATGGGATAAAGTTTAACAAAATGGGAAAACCTGATCAACGGATCGTTTAGTCAGAGTGTGCCATTCATTTGGATGCCTTCAATATCAGATGGGAGTTTCGGCAATCAATGCTCTCTTATCATTGTAAGCTTCATCAGTAAAGTTATGATGTGATGGTGGTAAGCTTATGCTTGCTCAGTCTCCGTAAGTTGATAAAAACTATGAAGTCGAATGCTTGAATTATTAAGAGCATTTATCAGCAAAAAACTCTCGGAAACTCAATAATTAATCCAAAATTTTGCTGTTTAACAAGTTCATAACTTCACCAATATACAGCTTCAATAACAAACTGGCGCAAGCTAGCCACAATAACCGGTCGGTAATGTCCTTGAGACAAATTGCTCTTTTTGGCGGTCAGCCTTAATCAATGCTGAACCAAATTAGAACCAAAAAACAGTAAAAAAGGGTCAAATGGGGCTATAGCCCCTCGGGTCTACATGTTTTAAGGTCTGCGTATGGGGGGACTATAACCCAGTTGACCGGCGTGAGAGACTTGTCCCTTGGCCGCACTGCCATCTGTCCTTATTTTTATGCATTTATACTCTCGTATTTATATGCATATATACTCTACATTTGTGTTGCAACATCCTCCCCCCCCCCCTGAAGAAGGAAGAACCGGAGCCAGCTTAACGGTTGGCCGAGTGACTTCACGGGTTGCGGTCTTAACCAGGGCGGATCGAGAGCAACCGTCCTGTCCGCAGTTTAACTTGACGATTCGGGCAAAGGGGTAGTGCCCACGCGGACTATCGGGCTCAATCGCCCACACGAGATCGCCTGTCTTAAGAGTCAAGTCACAATGAGTGTGCCACTTGACACGCTTATTCAGCGAGGGGACATATTCTCGAAGCCAACGAGACCAAATCGCGTTAGCATATGACTGCGCTCGCACGTAACTTTTCTTG